TTTTTTTTTTTCAATGTTTATTTATTTTTGGGACAGAGAGAGACAGAGCATGAACGGGGGAGGGGCAGAGAGAGAGGGAGACACAGAATCGGAAACAGGCTCCAGGCTCTGAGCCATCAGCCCAGAGCCTGACGCGGGGCTCGAACTCACGGACCGCGAGATCGTGACCTGGCTGAAGTCGGACGCTTAACCGACTGCGCCACCCAGGCGCCCCCAGCTTTGTTCTTCTTCCTCAATATTGCTTTGGCTATTTGGGTCTTTTGAGATTGCATACAAATTTTAGGATTATTCATTCTAATCCAGTGGAAAATGCCATTGGAATTTTGATAGGATTATACTGAATCTGCAGATTTCTTTGGGTAGAATGGCGGTTTTAATAATATTTATTCTACCAATCCATGAACATGAATTATCTTTCCATTTGTTTGTGTCTTCAGTTTCTTTCATCAATGTCTTGTAGTTCCAGCATACAGGTCTTTCACCTCCTTGGTTAAATTTATTCCTAGGTATTTTATTCTTTTAACACAATTGTAAATGGGAATGTTTTCTTATTCTCTTTCGGATAGCTCATTATTAATGTATAGAAATGCAACAGGTTTTTGAGTGTTGATTTTGTACCCTTCAATTTTACTGAATTCATTTATTAGTTCTAACAGCAAACCTATGATACATGGTTTCATATCAGGCATGATATTTTAACATTAAAAAATTGCAAGGTAGTTTCAGCTCTTTCTTCATTAGAAGGAAATGATTAAGATCATGATTTGTGGTATTAGGATGACAATGTGAAATCTACCTTTAAACATACATCTTAGAAAAGATAACTGGGGTTGTAATTAGAGGGAGAATATGAGAAAAAATCACAAATATGTAATGATAATCTATACATAGGATGGAATTTTACTTGAGAACTATTCTTTGTTTGTTAAATAAAAATGCTTGTTCACCAAAGCCAAGGTCTGGAAATTATGCAGGGAAGGAGTGTAATCTCCAGTTCCACATTAGAGCTGAGAGGCTGGTATGCCTCAAGGACTATGGTAAGAATCACTTTGTAATCCTCACATCACTTTCATTCTTAGGAAGTGTGTTGCTTCTGGGACACTTGGGTGACTCAGTTGTTTGAGCATCCAATTCTTGGTTTCGGCTCAGGCCATGATCTTGTGGTTTGTGAGTTTGAGTCCTGCACTGGGCTCTGCGCTGATGGCATGGAGTCTGCTTGGGATTCTCTCTATCTCCCTCTGCCCCTCTCCCACTCGTTCTCTATCTCTTAAAAGAAATAAAATAATAATAATAATAATAATAATAAAGAAAGTGTGTTGCTTCAGCTTCCTTTAGCACTAAATCTGTTTAATAGATAGATGATTGTATTCTAGGGGTTAGACATGCCAATTTTTGGAACTCTTTGTCAAGAAAATGTATTGTCCTACAAACCATTATGGTAATAATTTTTAAATATCACTGCTATCGTAATTGGGAGTGCAAAACAAGTTTGGTAAAAAAGAATACCAGCAATGACTACAAATATAATTGATTTGAGATTACATGTGGAGTTTGCTTTCCTCATACTATGTGTTCAGGTTTAGATCTCTAGTCCAGTGCCAGCAGAAGATCTCAGGGTACTGAGGTTCTAAACTTCTATGTAGAAATCAAAAGACACCATAGACTTCCTGCCTAAATCTTAAAATGACACAGAAGAACATGGGTCTTTGAACACAGATACTAAAAAGTATTGGTTTGGGGTGCCTGGGTGGCTCAGTCGGTTAAGCGGTCGACTTCAGCTCAGGTCATGATCTCGCGGTCCGTGAGTTCGAGCCCCGTGTCGGGCTCTGTGCTGACAGCTCAGAGCCTGGAGCCTGTTTTGGATTCTGTGTCTCCCTCTCTCTGACCCTCCCCCATTCATGCTCTGTCTCTCTCTCTGTCTCAAAAATAAATAAACGTTAAAAAAATTTTTTAAAAAAGTATTGGTTTAAAGAAAGGGTGTTCTCTTCACATTTCATGCCTTTAAATACAAAAGTCTTTCAAATTTTCCATCCCAGGCCATGCCTGTGTACTCCAAATTCATATTATATGAGATTGAACATCTCATAGGCACTGCTAACATCATCTTTCTCTCCACATACCTGCTCCTTCCATAGTCTTCTCTTTCTCAGGAAACTACAACTGCATATGCTCAGTTCTGAGGACTTGGTTCATTCTTCAGTCCTCTCTTTCTCTAACATCCTACATATAATACATCAGCAGATGCTGTGAGCTCTATCCAGAATCAGACCACTTTGCCACCTCCACCTCTATCATCCCTGTGCGAGCCACCATTCTATCTTACCTGGATCCTCACGGTGCCCTAACTACCTTGCAGCTTCTGTCTCCTCTCTCCCCATCCACTTCCTATCCCAGGGCTATAATCCAGCCAAACCCAACCAGATGATCTTTTCAAACCAAAAGTCAAAATAATATCATTCATGTGCTCAAAAGCCCTCAGTAGCTTTCTGTTTCACTCTAAACAAAAGCCTTCAATAACTTACTAAGTCCTAAGTCATCGTGCATTCTGGCCTCGTTTCTTCCTACCCTTCCTTTTTCTCATTCCACCATAGCCCCATTAGTTTCAGTGCTGTTTCTTGAACAATCTCGGTGCACTCCAGCTTTAAGGATATGTGGTTCCTCTCCCTGGAATGCTATTCTCCCAGATAATGCCTTTGTGCCATTCCTCCTCACGTAAGTCCATCTTCAAACATCACACCTTCAGTGGGACCATCCACTTAATATTGCAACTCCCTGCTTCCCACATCCTCTGTCTCCCTTCTTTGCCCTTTTAAAATTCATAGACCTAAAAAAACAATTAAAAATTTTAAAAAATCATGGACCTTATCATTATTTGATACACTAGAGGGCTTCCTTATTTATTTATTTTCTGTCTTCCCCCTCTAGAATTTATTATCCCTCAAGGCAGGAATTTTCATCTTTTTATTGTTCTTGTTTTTCACGTTGTATGCCTAGCTCTAGAACATTGCCTGGCAAATAACTGTCCCATGATACAAATTTGTTGAACTAATAGGTAAAAGTATCAGTACAATCTTGACAGGCAGAATACTTCTGTCTTTAAGGGCCTATATGTATAACAGAGAGTAAAGAAGCTATAAAACACCTTCACCCCAATGATTTTACTTGAAAATCATTAGTGCTTAAGGCTGGTCCTATTTGCTCTCTCCTGCTGACCCTAATTTTGTTAGGTTTTGGCCTTGCCACCCATCATGACCCACATCAAGAGATGACTGAAAATAGCTATGACCTTGGCTGACCCTAAATTATGCATATTCTTTGTTCTATAATCAGTGTCACTACTGGTGGTCCCTTCCAACTTAGTGCAAGTTGGTTCAGAGTTTCCTATCTGAGCTTTTGCTTGGATAAATGGCACTTAGCCTCACATTGCCTAACTCTGTCAATCTGACCAGCATCCATGCACTTACCCCTCTAAGAGGTAAACAGCATGGGCATCAAGGTTCTGAAAGCAATTCAGGGTAACCATGTTGGAGCAATGTTCCTGTTGCCAAAACTAAGAAAACGTTTGATTATAGAAATATTAAGTGCCACAGGAAACCCTAGGAAGGTGGAGTTTAATCATATACTGAAGCACATAAAAACTCAGGTAATGCAAAAATGTTACATGCTGTTTGAACTTTTTGATGGTCCACAGGATTGTGTAGCTACAGGAGCTTTAAGAGGAGAAATAAATTTTTCCAGAGAGATTTTTAAATAAAGAGAACAAACTGAGGGTTGATGGGTCAGGGGGAGGGGGAGAGAGGAGAAAATGGGTGATGGGTATTGAGGAGGGCATGTCTTGGGATGAGTCCTGGGTGTTATATGTAAGCGATGAATCATGGGAAGCTACCCTGAAGCTAACAGCACACTGTATACACTGTATGTTAGCTAACTCGACAATAAATTATATTAAAAATAAAATAAAATAAAAACCAAAACCCCCCACAAAAAGCCAAAGGACTGTATCCTCACATATCTGTGAAAATCTCAAGTTATAAAGCATAGGCATTTACTTCATTCATTGACTACACATGATGCTGAACATAGCTACTATTTCTTTTTTTTTTTTTTTCAACGTTTATTTATTTTTGGGACAGAGAGAGACAGAGCATGAACGGGGGAGGGGTAGAGAGAGAGGGAGACACAGAATCGGAAACAGGCTCCAGGCTCCGAGCCATCAGCCCAGAGCCTGACGCAGGGCTCGAACTCACGGACCGCGAGATCGTGACCTGGCTGAAGTCGGACTCTTAACCGACTGCACCACCCAGGCGCCCCAATAGCTACTATTTCTAACGCCATTGAAAAGAATACGTGTGGAGCATGACTCAGTTGTCTGGGAACATCGCTTTTGATTCTCAGCTGAATGTTTGGGACTCACCGCTTCCCAGTTGGGTAGAATCTTGAGCAAGAATGGCCATCCCAGGCACAGTAAGGGTCCCTGGCCAGGCAGCAGTCAGCACAGGCTGTACCATAGATGTGGCAGCGATGCAGAGACACTTGGGAAACCCCTTCATTGGAGCTCACATACAACTGTTGCTATTAGAGGAAAGATTATGATTTATTTCAGATGTGGACATTAAAGAGGACTTTTAGCAGGAACACGTTATAATATGTGTCTATACCAACTTAGATTCATTTTAAAATAGGCTAAAAATAAGAAGCGAAGTACAGAGGGTAGAAAGCCAAAATAAATAGAATTCTCCTATGTTAATATGCTTAGAACATTACCACTTTCCTGTTTAAAAAAAAAAAAAAAAGCTCAGAGCCCTATGTAGAACGGTAATACATTTTAGACATTGGGATTTATTGTTCTCTCAGATGTGAGCTAATATATTACAGATTTAAATTATGATGTTTGCTTTCTTTTTTGAGTGCACAGGCAGCTTTCTTTTTCTTCAAATATGGGAACCCATCACCTTGTAAATTTGAAAAAGTCAAGTCTAAAATAAAGGGTATTTTTAAGTTTAAGGAAAAGAGTACACAGTATTAGATAAAATTGAAGAAAAACATGTTTCACATGCCTTTGAAAATAACATATTACTCATTAGAGGAATTTTAAATTATTTAGAAGAATACCAGCATTTATATTTAGATATGTCTTAACTTTTCTGTATGACCCAGTGATCTGCAGCACCCTAAGTCATAAATAAAGATTTCACTCTCCTTCATTTGTACGATGTCAAGAGCTTCTTACGATGCTGCTCCAATTCTTTTATCAATGCATAAATTAGTTCTCAGGAGTTGAAAGATTAAGTTTCTAACTGACACTTATTTTATAAAGAAGTGATATCGTATAATTCAAGCTAGAGAATCTCTAAGCTGGAACTTAAATATGTACATATATGCACATGTACACACACACACACAGACATCTATACATATTTCACATATACAACTTAAAATTTAAAATTTAAATTAACAGGGGCACCACTGATCCACTAGGTTCTGGAGCCACACTTCTGGGATTCAAATCCCAGTGCAACCACAAATACACTGTGAAACTTTTCTGAATCTCAGCTTCCTCTTTGATAAAGCCGGGATAATACAGTACCTATACCACACAGTTTTTTTAAAGAACTAAATGTAAGGGCTAACTCCATATAAAATCCTTAGAATAGGGTCTGACTCCTGATCTCTCAACGAGTGTTAAATAACATAGTAGAATAAACTGCCAGTTAACTATCATCTTACAATTTTTTAATTCTAATTAATAATTTGAATAAAATCTCAGTGTACTGTTCAATAAAAAATATTTTATTCAGATCAATTAATTTTTTAGAAAATGGGCTGAAAATGATTGATCCCTACTTGAGACAATCAAACTATAGGAAAACAATAGCATATTTTGACCGTAATAATTTCTCTAAGAACATTTCAAATAAGAATTGATTGAGTACAGATATAGTGAATATATCAGCTGCATCAAAATATTTTAAGGAAACTGGTTTATTTCAGGAAATAATATGGGTAGTTTTATTCTAGAAATTATCATTTGTATTAATCCAACTATTTTGTGATATATGGAATGCAAGAATAAACTAGGGAATAAGGAAGCATAAAATAGAAAATAATATAATCTGAGCACTAGGGAAGGTACTAAATTCATGGTATTTAAATGTATATGAAATACCATCGATGATCTGTACTTCTTTCTCACTGAAAATTTAATGTAGTATTCAGTTGTGCAAATGAGTTCCCCAAAACTCAAATAATTACCATATCCTAAATCTAATGATTGAAAGAAACATTTTTAATTATCTGTAATATAAGATGTTGAAGACAGATGTAATACTCAGTCTCTCCTGTGTGCATACGTGTGTTGCATACTGCAATTTAACGGAACGTATTGTGAACTATGAGGTACCAGCTGAATTTCAAGTTGTATTGTAACTTGTATTACTGTAATTGTATACTGAACTACTCTGCCACACAAATGGCTCTGTGTCCTTTTTGAATTTTATTCTGACACGTTCTCTTTTCATTTAGCTACTGTAAACAAAGGGCTTCCCTGCTGACTTCAAAGACAATTCTGACTTGGGATCAGCTCCCTAGGACATTGGGGAAAATGACGAATGGCTTCTTGTTACTTGGGAAAATGTTTGTTATGCACCACACAAACATTTTTACAGATGAGATCTTTAGCTCCATTGTACCCTATTTATTTTTCTTCATAAAACTGAGTCAAGTGAAAAGAGTACAAGACTGACTGTGGAATACTTCTTCATCTGTATCAGACCAAATAAGGTAAAGAACAGTAACGTTATGTCATCATTTCTGCTAACACTTAAAATCTTTATTCCATATTCCAAGAAAAATAGATCTCAGACTCTTTAAACAGTTACCAAGACCTGCTTTACTTTAGGCAATTTATATAAATTAACTCATTTGTGAGAAAAGCATTACCTTGTAGAGGCAGAAACTTGGGTCAGTGAAGTTTAATGATCTGTCCATAATTTATGGACAAGTTAGTATTCAAATGCATGTCAGTCCCACTCTGAAGCCTATTCCACTTTTGACTATATGACTCTGCCCCTTAGAACTTTCTTCAGAGAGAACACCTGTGCCTGGAGAAGTACATGAGTCACACACGTAGAGATTGGGATAGGGCTTTTCCTTTTCATGGTCATTGTGCATTTGCATGTGCAGGCACGAATTAGAAGATTAAACATTCCCGACAATCACAGTCAAACATTTCTTCCTCTAAACCTGAATCCTTATATGGTTTAGATTTGAGACATTCAGATTTTTTAATGATATGTATAAACTCTAAAAAAAAATAGCACTTCCTTAGAAATAAGCATAAAAGAATGCACTGCACATTTCAAACGTGATAGCAGCAGTGACTCAAAAGAGGATTGATTACTCATTCCAAGCCCCTGAGAATGTCTGTGATGTTATAGTAGCCCAAACATTATGCCGAGATCTTCCTACAAAAAGATTACTTTTATTTTGGTTGGCTTCACACACTGTAATATTTGAGAATATAGGATATACAAAATGTTGGAATATCTTGCTGTATATATTTATATGTTCTCCTCTGATGGGCTTTTATACAAAATAGACCTATTTTGTCTTCCATTAATGGCTTGTAAATGATGTACAAAAATTAAAGGTGATTCTGTGGTATCCTGTAAATCGTATTAGTTATTTTTTAACACTAAAATTAATATTTTACAGAATATATTTTTCATCATAGTAAAGGTTTATAACATGCAAATAAAATAAAAACGGGGTTGTTTTTACCTTTTTGGATGAAATTTTCAGTGTTGTTATAGGAGCATGATTCTGAAAATTAAAAAAAAAGGGGGGTCAGCTGTTAAAATAATTCTTTAAAAATATTTACATTAAAATGTTCTCTTTTCCGTTAAAATTCAAGAAATCATCATTTCTCTATATATGCATGTATACTTTCAAAGTTTAGCAACACTTGTCTATAAACTACATTTCCTTTGCTGGTGATAAAGATGGGTTGTGACACATATCTATGCTTAAACTAAAAAAAAAAGTAGCAATTATAACACATGATCAACACAGTCATTAGAAAAGGAATCAAAATTTGAGAAATTTGAAAGAATTGAAAAAATTACATCTTGGAATATTGAACCCAATAAATAAAACTTAGGCTTGAATGGGGTGGGTAAGATGCTGTGGAATGGTACCCCATGTTATTCCTCCACAGCAGAAGCACTACCTGCATAAGATACTACCTTGCACCTGCCAGAGGTTGCTTTGGAAGGATGTATTAGAACGAATTATGCTTATTAATTCTTCTGTTGCAAACAAAGAAATATTGTTAGAAAATGTCCTCTTGATAAATGTGAATTAATGAAAGTACCTAAGAATTTTCTGAAATAGTAATCCTTTTTGAAAGTCACTCTATTCATAAACTTTATTCTTAAACAAAATATACTTCCTTTCAAAATTAGACTTGCGATAACCTGATAAATATCTGTGAAGGTTCATTTGAATAGCTCCAGTCAGAGCAAGCACTCAAAATTAACGGTACCTACAATTATTTCGTTTCTAGAGGTATGTGTTCTTACACATGTTCAAAAGAGAAAATGGTAATGTATCTAAACATTCATTTGCCACAGGTTTTGATCATTGTTTAGAAACACACACACACACACACACACATACAAAACATATTGCAATTTATATAAGTTAAGTTTGAGGAAGCTGGATGTATTTTCAGGAAATATTCTGGACAGAGGATTAAAAGAAGAAATTATGGTTCTGCACTCTATAAAATAAACAAAGGGTCTGGTTTTTAAAAGTTACATTGTGTTTTCTGCAATATATCAGGGTGACACTTAGCTAAGGAGTTTGTTTCAGTTCAAATGCATTATTTCCTCACGTGCTAATCACAGTATATCATACACACCCAGTTATTTTTACCTCACATCAGAAAATATGACACAAATACCATGTTGAAGACAGTAAGTAACTTGTATTTGGTAACTGTGTCTCTGTTTAGGCATATCAATCACTGGCATAGGGTTCCATAAGAAAGCTCAACTTTTTTTAGTCTTGACTGACTCTATTTTTCCACTGAGAGTTTATTCTTCATGATGATAACACCAGCATAACTTATATAACAGACCATAAGTAGTTAGCACATGATCAGAATGACTCACATTTCTTTAAGAGCTTTCCATAACTTATATGTTTGGGTTTGTGTCAAACTCAGTTAAAGTTTTCTGCTTATTAAAAACTGATATTTCAGAATTAAAAATGAAGCTCTGCAATAATAATAATTTTTGCTAACTTCAGGAAAATTCCAGAATAAAGTACTTTGCTATTTTGGCCAAGCCAAGTTGTCCTTATTGAATCGAATGAGGAAAACATATTTTATCTATAATGCAATTTTGGTTAATCTAGTGAACCGATCAATTCTTTTATAAAGCAAGGCGTAGAAAAAGCACTTGAAGGTACATAGTTAACATTTGGTAAGCACAACATTAATGCGCTAATTATGAAGAACCTTATGCCAAAGTGAGTCTAGCATTAAAAATTGTAAATTTAATAACATACTGGAAAAATTGCCAGAGTTCCTCAGATTTCATTTGATTATTTAAAAAAATGTTTTCCTTTAAATTTAAAATTTATTAGCATAACCCCAAAAAATGCATCTTGATCACTTACATGCTTATAAATTCAGTAATATATGTTCCCATATATTAATAAGTTAATATATTCTGAGTCTGCTGAACTAAGCAAAGCAACTTAACTGACCAAGCAATAGCCTGCTCATGGGAGTCCTACAGTGCTAATTGTACTGTTAAAGGCTGACTCTGGGGGCGCCTGGGTGGCTCAGTTGGTTGAGCGTCCGACTTCAGCTCAGGTAATGATCTCACGGTCCGTGAGTTCGAGCCCCGCATCGGGCTCTGTGCTGACAGCTCAGAGCCTGGAGCCTGCTTCGGATTCTGTGTCTCCCTCTCTCTGACCCTCCCCTGTTCATGCTCTGTCTCTCTCTGTCTCAAAAATAAATAAATATTAAAAAAAAAAATAAAGGCTGACTCTGGTCTTTTGATATCCATGGGCTTTTTTTTCTCCCTTAATTGATTAATTTGGAAATAGTAGTCTGCAATAGGATTGATTCCATGGTAAAGTATCTTCGTAGTCCTAACAGATCCTCTGGCTGTGTTTTATCCATTTTTCCAAGTATTTATCAGATAAACCACTCGAACTTCAATGACTTTCATCTTAAGGAAGGAAGGGTGTGCAGAACACCACAAATCTGCTCTCCAGGATCACAGATACATAAAGAACAGGCACCTTTTTCTGAGCAGGTTATGTCTTTCAGGAATGAACTTCCTTCTGTGTGCCTTTTTATTGTTGTGGTATACTGTTTTTCTTTCTTCCTTTTTTTTTAAGCCCACATTTAAGAACAAAGAGAACAATAATGAAATCTCAAGTTCAGCAGAACATGAGTTTTGAGTGGTAAAGAGACAACATTTGTTTTATGTAACCAGAGTGACATTTGAATTGAAAGCAATAAAACAAGAGAAAGCAAAGTAGTTTTTCTTAAAATTCCTGGATAAAAAATTATGAGAAAGTTTATCTAACAATCAATAATGTAAAGCATTTAAGTTTCAGCGGCTTGTGAAGCAAATGATAAAAGCCCTTTCACGGCAAATTTTTTAGACCTTGACCACAAAAGCCCATTTATAAAAATAATGATGACCAAAATTCTTGGAGTCGTGATAATTGCTGAAAAAAACTAATCTTTTAATGTTAACTTCAAATGTATAAAAAAAAACACTTCAGTAAAATATTTGCTCTATATTTCTCACTTTATCTAGCGTTTCCTACCCTCAAAAATTTATGACATTTATTTGATCTTTTATCAAGTATTTTTTCCTCCCAAGTGGCCCTAAGATGAAATAATTCCATCCATCATGCATGTTCTGAGATTAACAAAAGAGATGTTCAAACCTTAAAGACTTCTAACTCCTCCAGAATGAGCTCACCCCTGGAAGAGCTATTAGCAGGAAGAACCACCACCTTCTGCACAGTGCCTCGATCTGAATCAAAGAAAAAAGAAAAAAAAAAAACACCTCAATGCGATGTAGGAAAGAAAGACATTTAAACACAAACCCACTGGCTTAGAATTTAGAATATTATTTATGTAATTAATTAGTCATCAAGAAAACACCATGTATATTCAACTATTACCATTTGCCGCATTCTAATTTTATTCCAAATTTCATGTTTATTTTATTTTATATTTTTTCAAACTTCGTATGTTTAAATTGAGGTAATATATAATTCAGACTGAACTAATAAGAACATCTTATATTTTGTACCTATTTGGTAGTCAGAACTATGAGAGAAGAGAATGTCTGAATGTCTTATAAAGTCAAAAGTTCTGTTTCTGAACCAAGTGTGTATTCTTTAAATATTAATACATTATTGTAAGTTTGGCCCTTAAGAATATTAGTTAAACCTCCAAACCAACGTTATAAAGACACTCCCAGGTTTTCATTAACACTGATACATAATGATTTGATTATCTGAGAAAAAAGATGAATTCACAAATGAATTTTTATAATTGTACTATAAGCACGAGCACTAGAAACTTACATTTGATCTGTGGCCACGAGAGATTTCAGACACAATAAAATGTTTAACTCGCAATTCAAAATAATTTTAAAAGCAGAAACATAAATGTGTTATCATCTCAGATGTGGACACCTATTTACAGAATAATTCTACTGTTTTCACACACATATACACACATTTGAGAGAATTTTTTGGATATTCTTAAAATCCAGGGGAAAATATGAAATTAGATGGTCCAAATAAACTGAAGCAAAAAAAAAATTTACTCATATTTCCAATGAGATTGCCCCAATCTCATTTATTTGTCACTCAATAAATTGTCACTCAATTTATTGAGTGACACCCAAATAAATGTAATACATACAGAAAATGTTATTTATGCCAATATTCTTAGTTAAATAGTTTCATATGTCACATAAGCATTTTATAGACATATAATTTTGCCACTCTACCAATCACATACATTTTAGGTTTAAAAGAAATTAGTTGAGATTCGGCAACGTGGGGTTAAAGCAAATTTGTGAATGAATGATATAGTAAAAATGTATTTCCTCACCAAAATATTACAATATTACAATACAATACAAAATATTACAATATTACAATAATTAATGAGCTGTATCATAAGCATCAAGTCATTAGTTTTAAGTATGAACATGTAACTGTGGGTGTATGATTTGTAAAGATATATTATGGTCAACAGATACTGGAATATTTAAAAATTGAGTTGTACAGGACTTTAATCATTTAGTGATGAATCCCATAATTCCTAAATCTCACATCTCAAAGTGGTCTGTATTCCACAGGCAAGAGTATCTCTGACATAAAAGATCACATTTCACATTGATAGTTTCTATCTTATCAACCTAAATTGAAAGATTCAAAATAATTCTTACTTTTTTAAAAGTAATCTCTACACCCAATGTGGGGCTCAAACTCATGACCCCAAGATCAAGAGTCAAATGCTCTACTGACTGAGCCAGCCAGGTGCCCCTCAAACAATTCTTAGTAAAAAATAAACTCTACTTTAAAATGTTACCAATTAAGGGGCGCCTGGGTGGCTCAGTGGGTTGAGTGACTGACTTTGGCTCAGGCCATGATCTCACAGTTTGTGAGTTCGAGCCCTGCGTCGGGCTCTGTGCTGATAGCTCAGAGCCTGGAGCCTGCTTCTGATTCTGTGTCTCCCTCTCTCTCTCTGCCCCTCCCCCACTCATGCTCTGTCTCAGAAGTAAATAAAGATTAAAAAAAAATTTAAATAAAATGTTATCAACTAAAAAATTAAAACCTATTAAGTATAATAAAAATGTTTGTACAGAAGAACAAGACCTAGAGATTTTGCCAGACCAATCCCTGTGCCCTGTGAGGATACAAAGTATGAGCACCTGATTTTAGAAGTTCCAAACTCTAAATTTGATAGCAATTGGTACTATTTTTCTTGGAAGATCGGTAAATGTGTGTATAAATTTGAAGTGAAAAACATTGGGCGATGCTGTGCAGAGACAGGTCACAATTAAAATGGATGAGTATGGTTGCAGGTGTTCCCCAGTTTCTATTAACAATTCATCACCAAGAGCCTTGGAAACTTCTAAGGGAATAGGATGTACCAAAAACCCTAAAATAAAAACTTTGAAATTGTAACAGCTAGGTCAGGATTTGTGTAGTACTGTGTGTGAGCACGTGTATGTGCGTGTATGAAGAATGAGAGTGTAAAACCATCTTTGTTTTAAATCATGTTATCATAGGCATTATATTTTCTTTTCTTTTTTTTTAAAGAGGTCACAACAGAGGTTTATGGTTCCTTGCTGCAGCTTGTAGCCATTCTTCATGACAGCAATGACCTCTTTCTTGAGCAGAGACAGAGCAGAAACTGTGTAACCATACTCTCAAATAAAACTTCATGAAAAAGAATCTTGATTACAGGGATTCCCAAAGATAAAACTATCAGCTCTGAAAAGAAGTAAGTATTCTCAAATGAGACAACTGGCTCCTGTTTTTAATGTAACGTTTTAACTTACTATGTGAGCCATATTTCACACAAATCATCATTACTTTTGAAAGAATCCACAACAAATACGCACACACTTTATTCATGCCATTTATAAAATATTACCCAAAGAGTGGCTATAAAAATGGTTTAATAAAAAGATAAAGCAATACATGCTTTTGACTCCTTTGCAATATAAGCTAGAACATCACTTTTATTTTTTTCAACGTTTTTTATTTTATTTTTGGGACAGAGAGAGACAGAGCATGAACGGGGGAGGGGCAGAGAGAGAGGGAGACACAGAATCGGAAACAGGCTCCAGGCTCCGAGCCATCAGCCCAGAGCCTGACGCGGGGCTCGAACTCACGGACCGCGAGATCGTGACCTGGCTGAAGTCGGACGCTTAACCGACTGCGCCACCCAGGCGCCCCGAACATCACTTTTATTTATTGCTTGTCTTTCTATTTTAGTTATTTTTTTGTTGTGCTGGTAATGATGAGTAGATTCCCTTTTATTTTAAGGCCATGAAGATAAAAATATATTTTTCTAACAAATAAAACTGACTGTTAACTTGTCTGAAATTCTTGCAAAAAAATAAGCAAATTCAAAAATTGGTAACATTTATATTTGAAAATCAAGTTCAAACAAAATCATAGAAATGCAAGATCCCCAGAGAGAAACACATATTTATTGGATGCCCACTATGTGTCTGGCTCTATGATAAAAATATATTATTTAATTCTGACATTGAAGAAAATAAACATCCATTTTAGTTCCTTTACTTTTCCACCTTTAGGCATGTACTGGTACTTATGAGCTAGTATTTCTGCAGCGTTCTTCATTACACTGGTTCAACTTTCATCACTACATCACAAATGAATATATTGGTTCTTACTAGAATTCCATATATTAAAGTTTTATATTCATAAATTAGAATAGTCATTCAAATATGTGGATTCAAATATGAATAGAATAGCTTTAAATCTTTGTGGTGTTATGAATCATCATTATTAATTTAGGTTTCATGAGACCTTAAAGTTATGTAATTTGGGAAGCCTTCTTTTAAAATAATATAAAAATACAAAAAGAGTTGTTTGTGTCTTCCCCCAAACAATTACAAAGAGGAACTCTAAATTTTATGCTAAGTCCGCCTCTAATAATTAGTTTAGCTTTCTAAAAAAAAAAAAAAGAAAATTGTCCATAAAATTGGACAATGCATTCCTTACATTGAAGAATCTCTATCTAATGAAATCTAACCTATAATATCTTATCAGTAGAATTTTATTGTCCAAGATCATCTTTCACAAGTCAGCAAAAGGTTGAAAATTTTCTTCTTCAGTTAAATCTACTGCTCTGTTTCTTTTATTGATTAGCCTTTATTCTACGGCTACCAAGAATGCATTCAATCTCTTTTTTACATCCCTCCACATTTATCTTTATAATTTCTTCTTCTGGTCTAAGCATGAGCACTCACTTCTGGTATACCTATCCAAATTCAAATCCAAATCTTATTGCTTGTCTTTCTCTGGGCACTGTGCGATTGGCATTATCCTATTTAAAATGTGGTGCTCAGAATTTTACCTGATTATGTAGTTATTTTACCAAATGCCACACCTCACTGAAACTGTACTACTTAAAAGACACAGCAGTAGGGACACATGGATGACTCAGTCAGTTAAGCATCTGACTCTTGATTTTTGAAGGTCATGATCTCACAGATCATGTGGTAGAGCCCCATATGGGGCTCTGTGCTGACAGCACTGAGCCTGCCTAGGATTGTGTCTCCCCCTCTCTCTGCCTCTCCCCTGTTCATGCTCTCTCTCTCAAAATAAACATTAGATGCACACACGCACACACACACACACGCGCGCGCGCACATACACACACACACGCGCGCGCGCACATACACACACACACACACACACACACACACACACAGTTCTAGTAGTTGATCAACAACTTAGATGATTGGTCAGGATCTCTAGTACTTGCGGCCAGGGGAAAAAATATCCTAACTCTACACTATTTACAAGGTTCTACTCTGGATATCTTTATATTTCTGCCTTCATTACAAACTGCCTGATTCCCACTGTCTCTAGTTCAGATTCTGAAGACATACGTCTAATTTGGTCCAATTTAATCTCGACTAAGGCACAACATATACTAGTATTTAGAGACCGATCAGTTGTCAACGCTCAAGTATCCTTTCATTCAGTTTTGACACCAGAGAAGAGCCAATACACAGGTAATTGCCAACGGCTACTCCCTAAGTAGACCCATGTTAATGGGATAGTTACTCTCAAAATGCAGTCATGGTAGATGTCTATAGCTTTTTTTTTCAAGACATACAAATCCTTCAGTTTCCCATATAGAAAACACTTTTTGAGGTCAATAACTAAGTTGACTTGGGTTATCCGCCACCCATTTTCACTCACTGATTTAACACAAAATTACTGAGTGCCTTCAGCGTGTCAGGCG